CCCCAAAACCCCAAAATCCCAAAACCCCAAAACCCCAAAACCCCAAAACCCCAGAGTCTTTTATTTTATTTGAACAATATGGAGGTAGTCTTACAATATCCCTGTTTGGAATATCAGGTTCAAGATTTTCCCGACATTAATTAACCCCTGCTTTGTTTTTATATTGTTCAGATTTTAAATACTGGAATTTAGAAAGAAATACACAGACAAGAGACACAAAGTGATGCCACTTCTGTTGATTTAGGAAACTTATGGGAAGACATTACGATATTTGCAGGGCATGGAGACCCCTATGTTCAAGCAACAACCAGAGTAAGTTTTCTTTTCTAATCTACATAGAATAATAAAGAAAGTATTGAGCAAAATGTACAGTTTTAAATAAAATTTAGCTACATAAATAAATTTATTGACGAAATCAAAGCTTTACAGTCAAGGCTCTCAGAAATTGAACTAAAATATAACGAGGAGAGGAAAAAGAATGAGCTTCTTATTGATAAAGTCAGAGTAAGCTATTCCTTCAAATGTTTCTAGTCAATGAAACAAGGCCTCAAGAGAGAAGAGAATATAATTAGGACAAGGGTTACACAGGAAGTTGCCCGTGAATTTCACTACAAAATTGAACAAAGTAATTCTAAATGGGAGGATGAAATTGAATACCTTAAAGAAAAAGCCTTTGCTTTGAATAGAGAGAGCAAGGTAAAGGATAAAGCAACTTTAGCAATCTGTCAGTCTAACATGGAGCAGGAGCTTATTATAATCAATGCTAATAAACTTCTTGCCCAGGGTACTTCAGGAGAGATGAGTTTGGAAAAAATACTGTAAGCTGTTAGCCCTCACCTACAGTCCTATTCCTTTATGATTCCACCAATTGGCTGATAGAAACAGCAAGACTATCAAGCAGAAGAGTAAGTTCTAGCATTACCTCTTAGGGTGTCAATATCTTGAAGAGTGTGAAGAATTAAGGTTTGCTAATGCAGATCTTGAGAAAAATTATGAATCACTTGTCCACGAATTCGAAAGCTTAAAAATTCTCTATGGGTCAATCACAAATGAACTTTCTCAAGCAGTTAGGAAAATTCAGGAGCTTGAGAAGGAGAATGAATATCTTAGTATAAATTTTGATAAAAAACTTAATAATATGAAGCACGGAGCTAATAAAGCAGAAGGAGCATTACAGAAAGAAAACAATAAGCTCAAGGAAAATTATGAGACTCTTAAGAATGAAATTGGCAAAGAGCTCAGAATCAAGGATTTACTGATACAAAGACACATTGAGTACCAGAAAGTCTTGAAGAAAGAACTCGTTATGGCTAAGAATATCCTTAAAGATCCCTCCCTCGTCAAGAAGGCAGAAAGGAAACTAAATTATGAATCAACTGAAGTGTATCCTTTCAGAGATTTGGATAAGATTATCCAAAATTATTCAAATGAACCTAAAAGTTTTAGAAAGATTGAGCCATTAAGTCCACAGATTAGCAAGAATTTTAATATGAAGAAGCATAGTTTGACTCCTAGAGACCCAAAGAAGATCCATAACAGGACTATGGTCCTGAGTAACTCTATTTTCAAGCCACAAGGGCAGAGTATCATCAAGAAGATGCTTAGAAGTAATCATAGAGTAAGGTTGAATAATTTATCCTTAATATAGCTACTAGAACTAAATTCCAGCTTTGTTGAGACAAAGATAGCTGACAATAAGAGAACAATCTCTCTGATGAAAGATGAGCCTAACTTGATGTTCTGAAATACTAACAGTAAGATCCCTAAACTAGTGCATGTTAAGTAAGTAACGCTTGTGATATTTTAGTACCACTCAGAGTAGTGATAGGGTCAACTCATTCTCTCTGTTTCATAATGGAAACAGTAATTATTTTACTCAATCTAATGAGGGATAATTTCAATCATTATTTTCTTTTTAGGGGTTTTGGGGTTTTGGGGTTTTGGGGTTTTGGGG